TAAAATCTGTAACGCCAGCTAATGCAAACCTGAACTGTACAGGCAGCTTCAGAGAGTTTATTACAGGATCCCCTTGTGGGTTTCATTTCACCACACAGTGCAGGCACAGGTTTTGTACCAGTGAGGAATTGGAGTCTGTAGACTTTGATCTCTCAATGTAAGTAAACCCATAAAATGCTGAATGGGCACCGTTCTTGTATTTTCCTTTAAGTTGACAGGATTGTTAAAGGCATGTTGTTGTTTTTTATTGTCAAATACCTCAAATGGATAAAAGCGCCTTTTGCTGAGACATCGTTTGCAGCACATCTCTCTCATGTACTGCTGGCCATTCTCTCCCCCTTCCTCCTTCTCACTCAAAGGCAAGTTCTGCAAATCATTTCTGTAATTAGCTGCTAAACACATCTAGAGGTTGAAGGAGGTTGTTTTTACTTTTGTTTACTTGATTTGTTTCAGCTTTTGTATGCATTTTTCTCTAGCCTAAACTATCAAAATCTCTACTTGTCAGGAAACCATGGCTCTTTTAAGAGGAACAGTAGACAAGTCTATTCAGCCTTCCTGCTGTATCCATCCACATATGTTTTTAGGCTTTTCTGCTTTCATTCCACCATTTCTACTGGTCTTTTCGATATGCTGCTGAAGTCAGGGCTATTATCTCAAATTTGTTTGAAAACAAATTGGGCGTTTTGGCCTCAGCAAATGATACTAGGAGAACAAACACTGTATTTGCCTTTTGTTTTCTTCTTTAGATGGAGACAGCTTCCTCTTTACACACGGCCAGTTTCTCACGCAGAATTTCTCCTTAAGCAAGGAAGTGTCCAGCAGTTACATACCTAGGCTCCCTGGTCCCCACCATTTCAATTTTGCAATTAATAGTGGTGTCTTTTTCTTCCTTGCAGGAATGTACGTCCTGGGAAATGTTATTGTGTCTAATTAACTTCAGCAAGTGCATTCTGGAGTGAATTTGCCAGGCCTCGTGTTCTTCCCGAGCGTCTCTCCAGCTGCTGAGGAGGTACAGAGCCCTTGGGGTCTGCACAGGGGGACAATGGGAGTGGGGAGGCGTTACTGCGTGCGCAGCAGCATGGGAAACCAGTGCACAGCATGTATAATCTCCCAGCTATAGAAGGCCTATAACAGTTGGAAGGCACAGGACCATCTCATAAATACTATTAAAGGTGTGTTTATTTGCAATGTGGTGATTGTGGAAAAAAACTTTTTTTTTTTTTCCACAAAAATAATTATTTTCCATGTAGGATTAATAGCAATGCTGTTTTACTGCTGTGATCTGACATGGCAATACATTTCCTTTCCTAATGTCAGATGTAACTGCCGTAGGTTGCACTTGCTTCAGAAACCACAGCCTGGAGAAATCTGGGTGCCAGGCTTGGGAGATGAGTGAGGGAAGAGTTAGCCTCATGACTTGACAAACTTAGTTTGTGGCTCCACACGCAACTTGAACCAAGCATGCAGGATGAGGATTGGTGCAAGACCTCCTAATACTAGTTATTCCATGCAAATGAAATTACAGCAAAGGCGGTTTAGATTGGGTACCTGGAAAAACTTCACTAGCTGTAAGGCTAGAGAAGTACTAGAATAGAATATTGAGGGATATGCAGAATTTCTTTCACTTGAGATTTATGAGAAGAAATAAATACCTGACAGGAATGGTATAAAGATCATCAGTGGTACCTCAGAGGAAGGAGAAGGGTAGATGCCCTCCTCCAGCCTGTCATTCCGTATTTCAGTCTCCTTGTTGGCAGTAACTTTAAATTTCTCTGGTTATTGATGAAATCTGGTTAGTAATTTTAAAGGCAACAAACAGTTTCATATTTATGGTACAGAGAGAGCAGGTACATGTTGCTTCTGAGTTTCTTGAAAATTTTGCTTTTCTCATTTGAGCATCACCAGATAAAGTTCATTATGCTGTGTACTGTGACAGTGCTATCAAGAGCAGCTGGTGAGGTAAACACCAGGTCTACTCATGGTGTGAAAGGGAGACCTGAAAAGCTACACTGTGCTGATCTCTTGGGTGAATAGTTGTGGGAAGACAGCAGACAGCTCATTTTTATCATGGATCTCAGGACTCTGGTACTAATGGCAAAATTTACATTCACACCAGCTATGCAAATCCAACTTGATCTGTGTTGAACAGAATTTCCTAATAGCAAGTTTTGATGGCTCACCTGAAACAGCATTTGGCTGCAGGTTTGGCTTGTGCAATGGGCACATTGACAGATACAGAAGAAAGCAGTGATCCCTGCAATATCACTTGTTTGAGGACTACAGGTAATCAGGACCAAAGCTGAAGAGAGAGTGTTGACTTCATGAGAGTAATAATGTCTTATGATCTGATAAAACTAACACACAGCTTCCTTCCAGCTGTGGATTTGATCCAGATAATTTTTTTTTTCTGTTTCTTATGTCTCAGTTCTGAAAAAACACTCTTTTTATCTGGAAGTTTATGGCCTCAAACTTGCAGTTGTTCTTAACTCTACATTTAATTACTAATTCTGGTTTTGGAAACAGATGGTAAAAGTCATGTTTCAGTCTGTCATATGCTAAATGTAGTCTCCAAACTTACTTAAAGTAAACCCAATTTAGATCTGCCCTGTGTAAGCCAGCCAAACCATTCAGGTTGAACAAGGTTTCAGCCATGTTTTAAAGGATTCAACAGATGTGATGCTAACTTTAGCTAGGGTTTAACAACTGGGACAGCCACTCTTATTACAAAGAAATTAAAAGGGAAATTGGCTGCCAGCCTCAAATACCTGTTGTGTCAGGGCAGCTGCACTGAGCAGACCAGCCTGAAGTTTTCTCCTCTGAGCTTTTGGTAGTTTGGCATTAGAGAGGATGAATTTGAACAGTCATGTGGAGTAAGAGGACGTGTTAATGAAGTATGCTCTGAGGAGGAAACACAAGTGATAAATGATGGTATGTGGCTGCTCTTGGGTTTGTGGGCATGTTTTTTTTCATGGGGGCGGTGTGCCGTACATAATGGTTTAGATCAAACAGCACCAAACTACTACTACTTATGCAAAAAGTTGTATTCTCAATACCAGCAGGTGCTTGGCTAGATCTACTCTTGCAAGGAGGCAAATTGCCTCCAAAATCCCATGGCTCCTGGTGTGTCCTGCCCAGGCTATGGAGTAGGCAGGTTCAGGGCTGCCCGCTGGGAAGGAGGTGAGGTGCTGGCCTTGTACCTGGGGGTACCTGGTCCCGGGGAGGGCAGGCGAAATCTTATCTCGGCCCTCTGGCAGAGCCACCTGCCCGGCACATCCACCAGAGCAGGGAGGGACCTGCACCAACAGCCAGATACAACCCGACGTGTGAATGGAGCACAGTGCCCTGAGGCCCAGCACGAGGCTTCACCCTGACCGCACTCGCTGTGTCTGAGCGCCTGGCTGTCGGAGGTGATGGAAAATGGCTGGAGTATAAATATGTAAAACACAACACAGACAGTGGGTTGAGATTGACTTGGGCAGAGGCTCTCCTTAACTCGTGTGGGCTCTGGCAGTGTCACAAATGGAGCGTGGTGCTGAGCTCTGGCCCACGGGGATGCTGCAGCAGGTTATGCGGCTGCGCTGCCCTCCTTCCCAGGAGGGTGCCGTAGAGCACGCCTCCTCTTAGTCTAGGGGAGGATTGGCTAGTGCTTGCTGTTAATCCATGAAAGACGTTGTCCTGCCTTTATTTTTTGGCAGAACCCCTTAATAATCATTCTTTCCAGCTTCTCTTCTTCACTCACTAGCTCAGTGTTTGCCATCTGCAGCTGTAAAAAGTTGTTTCCAAAGTGAAATAAATTGGAGCAAAGACTTCTGTAATCGGAGATGTGGAGGAGAGCAGAAGGGTGTGTTTTACTTTGTTGTCCTTGGTTGCTTTTGGTTTGACTTGTGCCTTGCTTTAAACTAGTCCCCTTTATGGGACTTTGGGGCCCCCTGCTCGTGTCTTCCCAGCACTAGCTCCAGGGGCACCAACGCAGCCCATGTCCCTGCTAGTACCAGGCAGCGATGGATCTGGGCAGTCAGCAGTGCCAGATCAGTGCAGGAGTGGAGCAATGAAAGCATGAACCTCTACAAATAGGAGTTAGATGCTTAAGTTTAAAAATGTATCTTTGGATATCAAAGTTAGTGATTGCCATTGTAGTTTTTCAGGACTTTTGTTATTGAAATGATGTTTAAATTAAAACAATCAGTTCATCAAAACCATTTTTCTTCCTGAGATCAAAGGTGAATTCAGCACACATTTAAATTTCAAAATTAGAAAGCTTTGAAATTACCTTTTTAAAAAAAAAAAAAAAAAAAAAAAAACATTTTAAATACATACAGCAAATGTAGGCTCTGCTGAAATTTTCACTCCTAAGGAAAAAAAATATATAATTTCAGTTCCATTAAATAGAAATTATTTTTGATCATTATTTAAAAAATAAAAATCCTGATTGAGATAGAAATCTCTGCATGTCTCAAAGTTTGAAAGGATATAAAATTAGCTTCCTACTTGCCTCTTTTTTGGAAAATACATTGTTGAATACTGTACTATACCAACAAACACAAATAGAGGTTTTAATGACTCTCCAAGTAAAATAGGAAATACGAATTCAGAGTCTGAGTTAGTCTTTCATGTAACATTAGAATTACTCTGAGTTAAAAGAACCACAGAATGATACAAAACAGAACGTGTACCTTGTCGTCTATTAGATAATTGCTAAAATAAGTGGAGAAGCATATGTTATAAATGAAATCTTCAGAAACTATCTTTAATTATGGGGCTTTTAACTGGACAAGGAAAACATTAGGTTAAGTATAGACAGCCTAACTGTGCGCCATTGCTGTGGCTGTTTACACTGGCATCATCCACTGCAGATGTGTCCTGTGAGTACCCAGGTGCATATGTGCAAATTTCATAATCCCAATGTCAAGGCTGAGTGTTCAGTTAGAGTGCCAGGTGTAAACACCAAACATGCTGTTTCAGTGTTATCACACCTCACGGGGTTTTATTGCATACAGTCAAGTCCTGCTACAAGACTAGGCCGAGCTCCAAGATGTGTGTAAAAATGGCTTTTCAAAGTTATTTTGAGTTAGTTTTGTTAAAGCTGTACTCCAGTAAGTGAATTAAAATGTAGTTGTGCTCGGTCAATAGTCTGATCTCCACGTAGCCTATGGTGGTATAAATACAAAGAATTACTAGTATTGCCTGGATTTATACTCTTTGCATTTGGCAGCTTATTTATACAGTAATTGAAACATCTCTTAGCTGTACCTTCCTTTTCCAAGTAACTCTTGACATTTTTTCTTGCCAGAAGGCAGCATTGGAAATACTTAACAGAAAAATTTATCCTTGTATTACTCAGGATGTTTTCCAGATCGCACCAAATGGAAACTGTTGGTGAGAGGAGCAGTACATGAGCACTGCGGGTGACTTGCATACATGCAGACTCAGATGCTGAAGGCTAATGTCTGTCCTATTATGCATGGAGAGGTATTCAGTGTACTGTGGGTTAGATTTTTACTGCTTCACACAGAGCCAAACTAAAGGCGAACAGAGGAGGCAGAATTTCAGGTCTGCCCTTCCACCAGTTCTTCCCTGAATGGGAGTCTGAAATAGCAGCCCAGGGCTTCAGGATCCTTGCCAGGCGATCTCCATAAACACCAATCTCCCGTTCCACCTACCTCATGTGGTTTCAATTCACGAGGCTGATCTGGAGCTCACCTCCCAGCTGGCCAGGCAGTGAGGGTGTCTCCAGGCCTTTGCTCCTCCACCCAGCCCTCAGGTTGGCCCCTGGTCGGGGGTGACCTTCTACAGGGCAGTCACCAAACCACTAATTCTCTCTGGAGCTGCTCGTCCCAATGAGCCAGTATGGAGCAGGAGATCCTCTGCTTGCTTTCTGTATGTATCTCCACTGGGTACCCCTTCATTTTGTCCAGTAACCAGTCTTGGAGTCAGAGAAGTGCTGGCTAGCTCAGAGCAAGGCATGTCATGGGTTCAGTATCAAAAGGGGAAAAAAGTTCTCCATCTGCCCTGCTGTTCTATTCCTAGAGCAGCTCTCATAATTTACCATGCATATTCACATTACTACTCATGGACTGTATCTTCCTCAGGTGTAAGTCTCTGTAGGTTTGTAGTGAAACTATTGCAGTTCATATCAGCTAAGTAAAGCTGATACATCTTTTACTCACAATAAAAAAAAAAAAAAAAAATTTAAAATCAAGCTTTTCTCACTGTAGTAATGAAGGCAATTGATTTACACAGTGAACATGGGTATACTATAAAATCTATGCTGGCTTTTTTATTGTTGGCTTTTGCTTTTTTTTTATTAGAGAAAAAGATGGTCTGATTTGGAAGAATTTTTATCTGATAGAAAGAACCAAACAATACAGAGATAATGGCAACCTTACATGTACTTTACTTAGTAGTTATTTGGTCTGTTAGTTTTGTACAAGCCATATGATTATTTTTTTTTTTTACTTATTGTATAATATTTTAGTAGCAACAATGTATTGCTTCTTCTATCCACTTCTCTGGAATGAGTTCTTGTTGGATTCCAGCCAAGCAAATAATCTGATGGTGCAGGAATGTAACATTTTGGACTTATTTTTAAATGGATTAGAATGAGACATCATTTGCCAGTACTGACAGAATATTAGGTGAGCATGTAAATTCACACCTGAAATGGTTTGTTCTCTGTCGCACCTTTGCTTTTCTTTGGTGTTTTTAAATGCATCAATTTCAATCCAAAACTTGTAGGGTAGGACAGTGAAAGTTCAAATGTCTCTCTTTTCCTTAATGCACCTTGGACTTGGTTTTATTTTGGTGGTTGTTATTGTTTTTATTGCTTTGGACACAGTTTTTAAAGTTCTGTAGACCCTTCTGGAAAGATGGTCACCTTTTGGCCCCAGTATCCACCTACTTTGGGGTGAGCTAAGGCTGGCTCCAGCATGCAGAAGAGGTGACAGGGGACTGCTTGCTGAAACAGACCCTGTTTATTTCAGATTATTTTTTGCCTTCGCTTTACCCTCCCTTTTTATTATTTCCATCCTGATTTTAAGGTCCAATCCACAGATTTGTTTTTGTATTGCTGAAAACCTTTTAAAGTAATTATTGAAACCATAGCAGCCCATCTGACTTAATACAAAGTACACAGCAGGCCAAACCTCAGAGGGCAGAGGCCCACTTCCAAACCAGCAAGAACGGATGCTGAGAGCTGCTTTGATGGCTTGTGCAAATGGACACTTGGTCATCCAGCTCCCTGCACGTGCAGATACCTGGTGTACCCAGCCCAGCTTCACAATGCTTCAGGGTTTGGGGGCTTGCTACTACCAATCGTAGTAAATACTTAAAACCCTTACGTATTCAAAGTAATGGTATATATTTAATATATATTCATTTATACCTTGATAACCTGAAAAAAATATATCCATTATTGCCTTGCTTTGTTTGCAAACTTTCATTAATCCCCTTGGGAATTAGAAAATAGTAACTGTTAGTAACAGCCCAGCAGAGTCTACGAAGGGCTTGGCTTTCCATAGTTGTAGTATTGAAATAAGCATTTAAATGGCAGATCAAATGCTTTTTGCATCAGACATCAGGAAAGATGTGCAAACATGGGATATAACTCATACGCAGAATGAGTCTGCATTTAGTATTTAGTCAGTCTGTAAAGTCTGGTGCGACTTTCCTTTCAGTTTGTGGTCTGTGAGCGGGGCCCGGAGGGAAAGTTACGGGGGGTTTTTGGTAGGTCTTGGTCTGTTGAGGCAGATGACAGTACATCTTGAAGCTCACTCTCCCCAGGCTGATGAAGCAGGATGCCAGCAGTGCTGAACTCAAGCGATGGCATTTCTGTGCAGGTTGTGGCTGTGGTCCTTGCCCCACCAGCCTTATGTGTCCACAAGACGGTGTTGTGGGAGCCAACACGAACCTGGATTGCTGACTGCGACATTCCTCAAATGCATTACTTATGTGCACATATGATTCACAACCTCACAAATGATCTCGTTCATGATCAAGCCACACTGTGCGGCTGTGCACAACAGAAAAAGTCAAGACACTTCTTGGGATGTGCTCTTCTTAATCTTTAGGTGTGTTCATCCCAATCAGCTCAAACGCTTTCAGCAGTCATAAGGTGCCATGGGTCTCATCCAGCCCCCTCTGAAAGTTGGCCCGAGCCGTTCCACTTACTGTAACGAGAGTAAAATCAGACTCTCCAGCTCCACCCATCTTAAATGAGGTTTGGAGTCTCAGCTCTTTGCAGCTTCACATTCATCCAAAATTAACTCTCTGGATGGAAAATATTTTTTTTCTTTTTAATTAAAATCTCTACCAGACCCGGTCACCTGTTTCTCACAAAACTGATTTATGGGGGTTGCTGCACTGAACAGAGGCTTTTATTGACGGTAATCTGGCGCTGAGGCAGCGTTCGTTTTTCTGCACTGTCTGTGGCTGAGCGGGCTGCCTTATGCTACGCAGATCTGGGGCTCTGCTTTGTTTTGTTTTTCCCACACTCTGGACAGATCAGTCTTTGATTGCTCCTCTAATGACAGGTATTTGAGTTACCTTCTAATTCATGTCGACACCTGGGCTGTAAAAACTCTAATGCACTCTTGCTTGTGTGCTTGTCCTTCCCTGCTGACTGCCCCAGCCGCTCAGATTTTTGTTTGGGCTTTTGATGTGAAGTATGAACTAATCTCTGAACACTGTCGTTTTTCAACGTCCTTATAGGAGCTCTGCAATATTTACAAGAGAGAGGGATTGGAAAACAGAGTTTTAAATTGATTCCATATGTCTGGCCCTGATGTACCTCAGATATTTCCCCTTTAGAGGTAGTCACCATTTTAATATCATTTTATAGATGCTGGCTGTAGCAGAGCAGTCACAGTTCACTGCAGGTTTAGTAAGGCTTAGCTGGTTGCGATGAAGAAAACACTTTAAAAAGCCTATTGGAAAACTAAAGCCAATTGAATTCTAGACTTAGGCCTATGGAGAAGTAAGGTAATCTGACAGCGTGAGATCCTTGTTCCTTTTCCATGTGCCTTCTCTGCAGTAAGATCCTTCCTTTCCCCTGCGGCTGCCTCTCCTCCTGCTGCTCAGAGCGAGGGCAGCCTCGGGAGTGGAGCTATGCAGGTCGCAGTGCTGCGACTGCCATGCCCTGGGCATGGGACGGGATGTTTTGAGGTGTCCAAGGGCTGCCACTACACAACCTGCACATCCAGCCAGCTGCCTTCCAGCCCAGCCTCGGGATCAGCAGGGAGAGAAGCCCCTCTGCTTGTAGTCACCACTGCTGAGGGGATCTGTGGCACGCTGGTGGGTAATCGTGGCCAGCAGAAGTCCTGCAGCAACATCCCAGGGCTCTCTCACCAAGCTGGGTTCCTGTGACTTCTTTCCATGCTGGCTCAGAGTTGCAACAGCTCAGCTGTCCAAGAAAACATTCAGACTAATTCCTAATTCCTGACACTTTTTGGCCTGTTTTACTACAAAACAGTGGAAAAGGGAAAACAAGTCCTCCAGGCTTCTGTCAATTTGATTCAAATGGAAGAATTTCTTTCATGCTCCACAAAGTAAACAAGGGGTCAGACCTGCAGCGTCCTAAAAAATAGAGAGAGAGAGCTTGATATGCTATATACGCTCAGATGGAAAGGCAGAGAAGCCAATGTGAGAGGAAGTTACTTTCCCACGTCGGAAAGCTGAGCAGCGCTGCCTGGTGAGGACATGCCCACAAATCTGGTGCTGGCAGAAGAAGTCCTGTTCCTCAGGTGGTTTGCCATGCTTTCTTCTGATTCAGGGCTGAGTGAAGCTGGAGGCAATTCTGAGAAAACCTTAATTTCTGAATCAGGCTGTCCACCCCACCAACAGCTCTTCAAGTCTGAGGCTGCTAAAGCTTTTGAGAGAAAGCTGCAGCAGTCACCTCCGTAGGAATGAGGCATTGGAAAAAGCAGTCCCATCGGAGAGAAGCTCTTGGACTTTCTTACAGGAACAGTGTTTTGTGACCAGAAAATCCCTGTGAGGAAGGACAGGTGAGGGAATATGATGGAGAGAGATGTCAGATCCTTGGTCGCCTGGGTATGTTGTTCCAAAGTGGAGAAGCTGTCCCTATAGCCCCTCGGCAGCACCAAAACAAGGGGCCCTTTGTTCAAGGCTGTGCTGAGGCTTGCCTTGAGCCTGGGTGAATCCTGCATTTGCTGTGTTGGGCAGCGTCCCGAGGATAATACAGTCTTCTACATTGTTCCAAACATTTGGGGTGACCAAAAGCTGCTTTGGATGGTAGGTGGTTGAACACTGTGGACAACTGTGCTCCGGACAGCTGAAGTAAGAGCTCAGGCACCAGCAGCTCAGTCCTTACCCATCACTTTTGCCCAGAACAGAAGCTTTTTGCTGTTGGGATTTTCTTTTTGGGGGTCTAAGGGGAAAGGCTTCCCTTTTCTTGGCAGGGAGTGAGCAGCAGGAGGCTGTAGGGTTGCAGGTGGTGTCCCACTGGGACACATCCTGTAGTTGGGGATGTGCTCTCTTTATTTGGCTTGATCTCCTACTGGGGATGGCACATGGGCACATGTGCTTGCTGAAGGTTAGCCCTGAGGGTTCCTCCAAGCACAGGCGGCTTTGCTGAGGTCCTGCTTCACAGGCAGGGTTCCCTCATTGGGGAGGAAACCGACCCTCAGAGTCCCAGCGGGCAGAAGTATTTCTGTAAGCACTGCCTGAAAGAAGTTAGAGCGGCATGGATGGGGTGGAAGCAATTTCTATTTTCAGAGATGTGCTGTCTGCTATAGTGTACTCACCGAAATTGTCAGCTTTTCTCAAGCCAACATCCAAATGCTCAAAATGACCGAAAGCTCTGTTTTTTCTTCCAAGCACCGGCTACAGCGGTGACTGGGGCCATCCTCCACAGTTAGCCACTG